CCCTCTCCCTCTCCCTCTCCCTCTCCCTCTCCCTCTCCCTCTCCCTCTCTCCCTCCCTCCCTCCCTCTTTTTCTCTTTCTCTCTCCCTCCCTCCCTCATTTTCTTTCCCTCCCTCCCTCCCTCCCTCCCTCTCTCCTTCCCTCCCTCCTTCCCTCTGTCTCCTTTCTCTCCCTCTCTCTCTCTGTTTTATGTAGATGAATACGTTGCCTACACATATGCCCATGTATCACCTTCATGTCTAGAGCCCTAGAAGAACAGAAGAGGGGAACAGGGTGCCAGTACTGGGAATTGAACCCAGGTCCTTTGGAAGAACAAGCAGCTAGTGCTCTTATCCACTGAGCCATCTCTCCAGTCCATGTTTTTTTTCTTACTCATAATGCCTCATTTTTTTTTTAAAAAGGAAGTTAGCTTCCATGAGTGAGTTTGGAATCTTTTGAAACATATTTTGTCATGAATATTTTAAAATGTTAATTCAGTTGAAAATTTCAATTTCTTTTTAAAAAACACTTTCATGGGTTTTGGTAATATTTTAAAATGTCTTCTTTCTGAATATATACATATATATAACGCATATATCCTCCCATTATCTTAATTTTGCTTTAAAAGTCTGTTTTGTCATTTGGAATTTACTTTGGTAGATTCCAACTTTTTTGTTGTTGTTGTTGGTTGGTTGGTTTTGAAACAGGATCTTACTATATCCTTTAGGCCTAGAACTTTCCATCTAGACCAGGCTGACCTTGAATTTACATCAGACCCCCTGTTTCTACTTCTCAAGTGCTGGGACCACAGGTTACAGGCATGTACTGCCATCCTCAGTTCTCTCTCATATTGTAACATGGTTGTCTCACAAAGAAGTTCTTATTTCTTCTTGTGATCTGAAGCGCTTCCCTGAGAGTCCATACACCTCACTCACTGCTCAGCACTCCTGCCAGCACCTGTTCCGTCACCTACAGTGTGCTTATGCTTAAGGATCACACTGGTTTTAGGAGCAGAGCTTTCCTAGTGAGGATCCTTGGGGACTAGGTGGCCCGGTCATGGTATATATAGTTTTTTCATTTCTAGTTTATATTTTTCTTTCAGAGTTAGCTTGTGTAGCTTCCTCCATCAACTGACTCTAGACAATTTGTGATTTTTTGGAGAGTGTGTTGAGTTGATTACCTTTGGGAGGACTGAAGGTTCTGTGACATCATATTTTCCCGCAGAAGAACTGGGTGTGTCTCTTAGTAGCATCTGCAGATGTCCCTAATATGGATCTCATCTATTTTCCTCTATACTTTCCTGCTTGCCACTGTTCTCTGATCTTTGGTTCTGTCTTCTGTCTGGTTGTGATTTTTTATGAAGTTTTCTAACTTTGGTTTTGGTGATGCAGGTGTTGGAGCCTAGGGCTCCAGCATTCAAGGCGAGTGGTGTAGCACAGAACTCCGTTCTCAGACCCTGGTTTCTCTAGCTAGTTTCACATCCAGCTGTCCTACTGAATCCTCTTATGGAAGAGTTTTAAGCTGATTTCTAGATAAATAGCCATATCTATTTAAATAGTTTTTTCCTTCTATCTCCCAATGTAGTTTTTAACCTTATGACTTTCTCTCCTCCCTCCCCCCTTCTGACTGAGTGGGAAAGCTTTTAGTAATTTCTCTCATAAACATAATGTCCCTGAAGATTTCTTTCTAAAAATTCATTTTCAAGTCCTACGTACAACAATCTTTGCTCCATTATGAGTCATGGGTAACTGTGTCAGAATTCCTAGAGCCCCCTCCTCTGGAAAGAGTAAAGAATTACAGGGTTCAAGTTAGGCAGGTCTTCCTTACTTAATGGCTTCCACTTGGTTGCTCTCTAACACAACAGAGAAGGAGAAGGAGATGGAGAAGGAGACAGCGTCCTTCATTCAGGAAGCAGCCCCATGGCCTGCTGAGGTGACAGCAGATCTTTTCAACATCTCTGCTTTATGGCTCAGGAACCTAATAAATAATTGTCCTGCTGCTGAGATGAGAGACAAGCCGTCAGAGTCCATGGAGCACGTGCTGGGTGCAGCATGCTAATGGCCAGCCTCAGGCTATTCAGCTGTCAATTCACTGCCACCCCAGGAGTGTCACATTGCCTTGTGCTCATGAAGCCATTTCTTCCCATGGCTCTATGTCTCTTACAGGAAAAACCCCACACTCAAGGACCGGAAGTGACATCGTTTGAGCCATTTCTTATTGTCCTTTGTTTTTGGTTCTAGACTTTTAATCATAATCACTTTTCTTACAGGTATAACCCTACTGATACTCTCTCTGAGACAATGTCTAACTGTGTAGCCTATGCTGGGACTCGAACTCAGCGTCCTCCTATCTTAGCCTGCATATTGAGATTTTAAATGTGTGCCACCATGCTCAGCTAGCATCCTCTTTAATTACGGAGCAACAATTTACTGTGGTTCCATTTGCTTACTGGTCATTTACTGAAGTTTGAACAGCCCGTGGACCTAAACTATATGTTAATCGAGACCACATTTCACACGGATTTGGTTGAAAGCCTGACCAGGTTTTGATTTTGTGGTAATAAAGTCATAAGCAATGGAAGGGAGTGTCTCTTCAGACTCCAGTTTTCATTTGGTTGACGATCTGGCTTCTGACACGGAAGCTTTGGTGATACCTGGGTAAGGAGACAGGACGATACACATCTGTACCTGATCTTTGACCTGGTACTTGGGCATAGGACACTGACTTGTGACAGTAAGTGCCACCACATCTGATATTCCATCTTCTGTCCTTGTGCTTGGTGCTCTTGCCCCGCACACAGTTGTGTGGTCGGCTCAGGTGCTGAAAGCAGGGTAGGATGCTGTGTTTTGACTTCAGTGCTGTATAATCTTTGTTCTTTATCCAAGCAATGGAACATGGTGTGGAGTTAATGATCTATGTGGCATTGTGGCATTTGCTCTCCTTGACAGACTTCTGAAACATCCTTGGTATTTAACAACTGGGCCATTACATCCTGAGACCACTGTGTTGTGTCTGGTCTTTAGAGTTAACCCCCTCCTTCCCTACCACTCCCCCTCAGACTCCAGGGTGGCAGGGCCCATAAAAGAGAGAAGTGATCAATCTGTAGTTACTTAATGAGCAAGTAAAGTGTAAAACTCAGTTCATGCTGAGCGTGTGTATTAAAACAATAATTTTATTACTGATTGTTATCAGTGTTTATTTAAAACATTTCTTTGGCTGTCAACTTAGATAAGATAAGCAATGTATCTGCCCTAGACTAATATTCTAGATATTCACTGGGAATTACACTCACCACTGTAGGACGTGTATATTCACTAATTAACTGTAGCACAGCTAGTCATTAAGGGTCATATGGCTCAATTTCATACCCCACCCCACCCCTTTCTCAGTGTAGCTAAATATACTGCTCTCTGGGGGCCTAGTTGGGTCCAGAAATAACAACCAATATCATCCGAGGAGCATGTGCTGACCTTTTCCTGCCGGGCGCCAACCTGCTCCCTACCCCCACCCTCCCGAGGACCACATTGTGAGTTTTGTGTTTGCAGGCATGGGGTGGAGACAGGATTGCATTCCACACAGACACTGTTTTTGTCTTGAAGACATTCTAGGCTCCAGATGCACTCCCTTAATCTTAGCACTCAGGAGGCAGCAGCCAGGAGGATTATGAATTGGTTTGAGGCCAGTCTGGGTTATGTAGTGGCACTTTTGTCTCTACAGAAGCAGGCGTGAGGATGCCACTTAGTGATGGAGCACAGCCATGGGGCCTTAGGGTCAACCTCTAACACTGAGAGTAAGCTAATGTAGTTTGTTTTCTGAGTCCAGGATGCACTTTCCCCCTTTCTGGTTCTCCGTGTCATTTTCCACAGCAGGTATGGAGGAGAGCTTTGTAGACATCCCCTGGGGGTGAGGTGTATTGTTTTAATGTGTTTGTAGCACATTCATTAATCACAACAAACTCCTCATCCCGGGAACGAGCTAGAACAAGGGTACCATTCTCCCCCCCACCCCCCCAGAGGTCATTTCACCCCACCAGTCTAGCCGTCATTTCATTAGCAAGTAGCCCAGCCTGTAACTCTCCGGGCCACCCCCAATGCAGTCTGAAGGAAAGAGGCCTATGGGCTTGTATCCTCACTCCAGGCCAGGATATCACACAGAAAGAAGCCCAAACCCATCCAACTCAAGGGAAGTCCAGAGAGCTCTACTCCAAATCTTGAGAGTTCTCTGTTTAAATGTTTGGGCTGTCACAGGCCACGTGCAGACCATGGTCTTTTAGGTGCTAGTACCTGCATTTTCTCTTACATTTAAATGGGCAATTTAGGAATAATAGCAGCTTTGAAAACTTTGGAGGAGGCAGCAATTAGAATTCTTTTCTCTTGCCAAGATTAAGTTTCTTTGAAGAGCTGCAGTTTTTGTTAACCATGGTGTCTGGTGTCGTTGGCTTGTCCTGGTATAAAGACATCTGAGTACCCTCAGGTTTCCACAGCTTGAATCTGTTGGTGAGATAACTGAGGTCCGTTGTGTAGGAAATTGATTTACCATCATTTCACTCCAAAACTGGCACTGGATCCAAAATCAGGTAAAAAGCAAAAGCAAAAGCAAAAGCAAAAGCAAAAGCAAAAGCAAAAGCAAAAGCAAAAGAAAAGAAAAGAAAAGAAAAGAAAAGAAAAGAAAAGAAAAGAAAAGAAAAGAACCAGTGTGTTCTCTGGACTCTCTCATTACCACAAGATTACTAGTATTCTTTTTTTCTGAGTTTTTTCAAAATGGTTTCTGGTTTTGTCTTGAAGAATATTCTAGAAGACCTATACTGAACAAAAGCTGATTGGAAATAGAAACAATTCAATGAAGTAATTTTAGTGGACAGTGGTGATTTTTTTTTTTTAAAGAATCTGTCTTACTAAGTCTGTTGGTTAGAAAGGAGAGAAAATAAGTTCCCTGTTGGTAATGAATGATGTAGTTTCCCTACAGAAGTGAAGTATTAATCACACAACATAATGCTCAGACTTATCTTCCCTTTGTATTTAGATCTTTCTCCGGAATTAAAGGACTCCAGCTCAAAGTTAACCTCTCCCCCAACGACAATTACTTCTTCTATGTGAGAGCCACCAATGCCTCTGGGACTAGCGAGCAGAGCGAAGCTGCCCTCATCTCTACCAGAGGTAACGTTCTGCTTAGTGCAAAGCCAGGATGTCTGGGCGTTTCTGTTCCTCCTCTTCTGGCATTCAGAGGAGACACCTAACACAACTTCAGAAAGTTCCAGCCTGCTGTCCAGAAGAGGGCTTGTCATGATCCAGCATCAAGACGTTTCTTTTATTTCTATTCTTCATAGGTTCCCAAGCTTTGCTGAGCTTAACAACCAGTCAGGGTGCTTAAAACACTTATCCCCTGGCCTCACCCCAGAGGAATGGACTTATTTGTTCTGAAGATGGGTTGAAACATGTGTGGGCCTAGAAATTTCCTAGGTGCTTTGTGGTTCACCCACAATGCACTCTAATGTTTGGGTGTGAGATGTCAGGAACAATTTTCTCATGTTGTTATTCTTTGAACAAACAAATGAATGGACAGATGAATAATTCAAATAAGTGCTAAAACAGTTAAGTGACATTTTGGGGAAAATCCCCAGAAAATATTAACAAAAAACATTCGGCTTTTTTCAATTATGAGGAGTGAGGAGTGAGGAGTGAGGAGTGAGGAGTGAGGAGTGGGAAGGTCGAATTATGTTTGTTGCCTTACCCTAGACCCACAGACTGCACAAAACTGAAGAGCTGTTCCCTGTTTGAAATGTTAGTTGGTCTGCCTGGGTTGAGGGAAAGATGGGAGGGTTGCCTGTCTGGGAGGGTTTTCCTGCCATCTCAGAATGCTGCTCGCATATTCTATCACTGGGGCCTCTACAGGCTACTCTAAGATTCCAATTTTAAATCACACTCGGATCTTAGGGCATCTTGTCCAAGTAGGCTTTCAGATTCAGTTGGTCCAGAGTATGGTCTGCCATTTCCAGGTGATGTGGATGCTGCAAAGAGCATATACTTTGCCTAGCGTAGAATCCACCTCTGTGGGCCCAGCTGTAGCAGCAGGTGGGAGGGACCAGTCCAAGCAAATGCTTGCTCTTGAATGGCATTTCAGTTGTGGATGAGAAATACCAAGTCAGGAGAATGGGAGCCTAGGGTCTGAAATGTATGGATTGGCCTAGTGCTTGGCATTGTGACAGTGTTGTCACCTTCTTTTCTTAACTGTCACAGGAACTAGATTTCTCTTATTGAGAGAAACAGCTCACCCAGCTCTCCAGATCTCCTCGAACGGGACGGTGATCAGCTTCTCGGAGAGGAGACGGCTGACAGAGTAAGTAGAAGCAAGCGGAGCTGGGCTGAGGCTCAGTCCCAGAGGATCGGTTTCCCCAGTGTCTTATCAGCTGAGTCCACTCTTGGTTTAATGAGCTTGCTCAATTGTGCGATGCATATAAATATGTGTGCGTCAGGCACTGTTCACTGTGAGGTCTGGAGTGGCACACACAGCCCACAACTTGGAGCAAGTGTCAATGTTTTTATTGGGACCACAAGCGCAGATGCTTTGGGTTGAAACACTGGGTGCTTTAAGATATTATCTCTGGTTGGTTCAATGAAAAACAGAATGCAGAAATGATTCTGTTATTTCAGTAGCAACCCAGGTATCGAGCACTTGGAGACGAATAGGATGGTTTATTGAGTTCTTAGTTCTGGCCACAGAATCTTCCCCTCCAGAAGCTCCCATAAAAGGTAGCGACACCAAAGACAACAGGAACCAAAAGCTTGGGTGTGTGTGTGTGTGTGTGTGTGTGTGCCTGCCTGGCAGTTTGCCTTCTCCCTTTCTTTCTCTGTCTCCTCTGTCTCTGTTTTTCTGTCTCTCTATCTCTCTCCATCTCTGCCTCCCCCTCAGCTGTTTTGAAGGTTTAAATGACTAAACGGGAGGCCAAGCTTCTGAAGCACATGCTGCGGAGGACACTGATGTCCACAAGTGTGGGCTGTCAGAGGGAGCAGCCGTCACAGGTTCACTCCAGTCCCTGGGAACCTGCATGCACTCTGGCCCAGTCTTGATGCTCGACTGTCCACTGCCACACTTAGGTGTTACTTGTTTCTGGAAATGGCCAAGTCTTTCCTGGCCCCAGAACCTCTGAGCTGTATCTATGAAGCTGTTTACCCACCATTTAATCATGAATAGCTGCTGAACTGCAGCCCTGTCTTATGCCAATTTGAATTCCCAGAATCCAGCATGGGGATTTGAAATACTGTAGATGCTAAAAAAATACATCCATTCATGGATGGAGTAAATAAGTTTAAAAAAATTGAAGAATGAATGGGTGGGGCCAGAGAGATAGTCAGTGGGTAAGAGAACCTGCTGCTCTTACAGAGGACCTGAGTTAGGTTTCCAGCACCCATGCTGGGCAGCTCACAACTGCCTGCAACTCCAGCTCCTAAGGGAACGGATGCCCTCTTCTGGCCTCTGTAGGCACCTGCAATTGTGTTCAATCAGACACAACACATACACATAATTTAAAAACAAATCTTAAAAAAAGAAATAAATGTGATTTCTAAAAAAAAAAGAATAATAAAAAAGTAAATTGAAGTTGCAAGAGTTCTTAGATGCTATCTGATGGAAACTGGGATGTATTTTATAGAATTTTGTTTGTTTATTATTAGTATGAAAATTAGCTCATAAATATCAGGAAGCCTGGCTTTGTTCCAGGGAGTGAAGGCTTGTCAGTTGGAACCTCTCTGAGATGAAGTTACTGGTAAAGACATAGAGCAAGTGAAACACATTTCCTCGCATTAATCATTTTTCATCTGTTCAAGGATCGAGTGTGCTGACTTAATATTAACGCTATGAAGTTAAAAAGTCCTCCTTGCTGGCTCAGCCGGTTTCCAGCAAAACTGAGCAACCCATGCAAACAAGGTCGATTGTCCCTGGTTGAAAGTGGTTGGGCTCACTTCTCTGTGCTCTTTATCAAAATAGCTACAGCCAGGCAGGAAGAGGCCTTGAGCTCACCTTTCAGAGGCCTCTCCAGTCATGAAGACTGTGGAGCACCTCCCCCAGAGCCACTGACCATGATGCTCGGTTCTATACTCTGAGATGACCTTGCCAGCTGTCGTGACATTTAAAAGTTGTGTCCCATGGGGTCACTGTCGTAAGGAAGGTCAGCATATACTGGAATTCAGTTCTGGAAGGTTTAAAAGACTGAACTTGGTTGTGTATACTTGGAATTCTAGGATTCAGGTGGCTGAGGCAGGTGGATTACATGGTTTGAGATGAACCAGAGCTACATGGTGAGCCCATGAGTCAAAACTAGAAACTGTGAAAAGTTTTGGAGATTTCATTTTTATTTTTGCAGTTTTTTTGGAAGAAAACTTTGTCAGCCATGTTATCCTACCTGCCTCTTACATCCCTTCTATTTTCCTGAGAGCAGAGGTTATAGTGTTTCTTTTCCTTCCTGTCTTTATGCCAGTCATTTCCTGGTTCCCAGACCCCCTTAAGAGATACAATGCATCGTATGTGCGTGCTATAAGACAGTGGGCATATCTCAAATGGATGCTGGAGGTTGGTGAATCCTGGGGCAATCTGGCCAGGGTTAGGAGCATAAAGAACAGATGGTGTCTTTAACCAACCGACAGCAATTTCTGAAGTCTATACCCTTGCCCAAAGGGCATATAAGGTCGATGCATATGAGGTAAAGGCTGGTGAGTCCTGTGATAAGCTTCATCTGATCAACTCTGCTTGCAGGATCCCCTCTGTACTGGGTGAGGAGCTGCCTGCCTGTGGCCAGCATTACTGGGAAACAACAGTCACAGACAGTCCAGCCTATCGACTTGGCATCTGTTCCAGCTCATCGGTGAGGGCTGGCACCCTGGGACAAGGGGAGACCTCATGGTACATGCATTGCTCTGAGCCACAGAGGTAAGCTGCAGCCCTGCCTCTCCTAACTTAATCCAAAGACAAATTACAGTATCTAGACAGGGACCTCTGAGGGACCTAATGATTAGCTTTTCATATCCTTGCCCAAGTTCCAAACTAAGCAAGACAGCAACCATAAAGGATATGGTGGTTAAGGTATCACCCCGATTACCACATAAGCTAGATAAGAGGATGTCTTATAGTCAACCTCATTACCACACAGACCTAGCCACCCAGAGTCATGGCATGTGCTCTGAAGAGGCAGAGAAAGATGTGTTTCCTCTCACCAGCCGTGACAAAGAGACAGGGAGAGGAAGAGTCAAGTGGGTTGTTTTCCCTTCTCAACACATCCCAGGAGAACAAAATACCACAATGGTGCTCAGAAGGCCCCCTCTACAGAGAAGGAATTGGCAGGACTGAGAGAGGTGGCATCCCAGCTCTCTGCCTGGCATTCGCTTGTAACAGAAGCTGTCAAACTGTAGCATGCAGGCCAAACCTGATCCCATGCTTGCCTTTTGGTAAAGTTGCATTAGAAAACAGTCATGTTCATTTATTTATGTATTATCCATGGGTACTTTTGCACTAACAATGGCGGATTGGACAGAGACTGAATAGCTGTCACATGCCAAGGTATTTTGTCCCTTTAGAGCTAAGTTTGCCAAACCGTGGTCTCTATTATTCATATTGTTTGATGGGTGAATATTCAAAGCCAGTGCTCGGGCAAACATGCTGTGATCTCAGCAGGCTTACAGTAAGGTCTGATTTTTGTCCCGACTTTATCTTTGATTCTGCCTCCTATTGGTTCCTCTCAGTGAGTTGGTTAACCCTTAGAGCAATTCTTTGTGCAATTCTAATCCAGGGTTGTAGCCTGGCCTGCTACCTTTTGGGGGTTGTAGGATCGTGTAAAATCAGAGACGAGGAAGAGATTTGGCATTGTAATATGTCTCCCAAGTGGCAGACATTATTCAAATGCACAGCTTTAAAAGAGAAGCCATTCTTCAGTGCTCCCTCGAGTTCTCAGCTGAGGCCGCCAGACTGGGAGTCTATGTCTTCAGCTGCACGGTTCTCCCCTCCTTCCTCTTGACAGCTTGATTCTCTGAGACGGTTCGTGAGGATGCCATCTCCAAGTGCAGTTTAAAGTCATTTTTCATCAAGTTCAAGCACTTATGATTCATTGATATTCAGTGCTGAGCTGTGCTTAAGAACTCAGCCCTGCCCAGAGTTGAAAATCATTTAAACCTAGAGTTTACAGTTGGCAAACTATGGGAGTCCAACACAGGTATTAATTTCATTTAAAAAATTCTTTACAGGCTAGGCAGATGGTTCATTGGGTGAACAGGCTTGCTATGCAAACCTGGACAACCTGAGTTCCATCTCTGGAATCCACTGTAAAAGGAGAGACCCAATTGCTAAAAGCCCTGCTCTGACTCCAGTGTGAACACTGGCACACACTCAGGGACCACAGATTCCTAAAGCTTACTTTGTAGAAAACAGAATTGTTGCAAGCCCTCCCACCGGCTTCGGTCATTGGTTCTTTCAAGCCCAGTGTGAGCTTCTGGGAGGCAGATATACACAGCACAGCTGTGTGGTCACAGCACAGCTGTGTGGTCACAGCACA